ACTAGAGATTCTGAGTATGGGGACTTGATTACGTTATTGATCCCGAATCGAGATCCCTAACGCCCTTTCGGTACCTAAGAATAATATGATGTCTAACGTGTCATGCGAATTTTCGAGGCTTACCCGCTAATCCTATCCGTTCTAATCGCAGGAAAGACCAAACAAGTATTAAATACACAATCGAAGTCAATCAAGTCAATCAATCCTAAGTGGTCTCTAAAATGAAAATCAATCAAAACATTCAAACCCTAATGAAGCTCTAGAAGCTTATTCATTTCATGATTTACATTTTTTAGGGTTTTAGGGTTTTTTAGGGGTTATAACCCCTGAATTTGGGATTTTCTAAAAATGCCACTTGGGCACTTCCAAAAATTCAAATCTCACTTTTTATGGTTGGTCATGATGTTTTTGGACCATTATATGAATTTTTGAATTTTTTATTTTTTTTTTCGAAATTTTTTTTAACTGAGAATTAATTTTTCATGATTTTCTGAAAATCTTTATGAATTTTCCAATTTTTCAATTTTTTATTGATTTTCTAATATTTTTACATTTTTTATTTGAATTTTCTGAATTTTTATGAATTTTCTGAATTTTTGAATTTTTTATGAATTTTCTATTTTTCTGAAACTTTTTTGATTTTTTTACAATTTTTTATATTTTCCTGATTTTTTTGATTTTTTTTTTCTATTTTCTAGGTTTTTTTTTTCTTTATTTTTGATTTTTTTTATATTTTTCCCGCCAGGAGGCGAACCAAATTCGCACGGGCTTGATCCAATTAATTCCATTGAGTTCAGAACCCCTTCACTTGAGTTCATTTACTCCAATTCAATCAAATTATGTTAAGTCCATCCACCACCGGTCCAATGCAAATGCAATTATATGGGCCTAAATACTAATTCAAATGCTTCTAATCTATATGCAATTTAACTAATATTTTTTGTTTAGGGGTCGAAGTCGATCCCTAATTTTTATATACAATAAACGACTAACTAGGTTGTCAAAATTTAAGTGTCAATAGCTGCCCCTCTTTGAAGGTGAGCTTGCAGAGGTTGCATTCAAAGACTAAATGATACCTAAAATTTGACTATGCAAATGCAATGAATTTTATTTTTTGTGGGAGTATTAGTTCCCCTTTTGAAATGCAATATGTCATGATGCATGCCGACGTGAATAAAACATACCCGGAGTTACTTACCTGACAGGAGTGGTAGCATAATTCGAGGCATGACTCCGATTTTGTAGGTTGTTTGGCAAATGTTTGGGCTTTGTCCCAAAGGTATTGTTGATGAACGCTGATGGATTTCGGTGACCTGCAACTCAGTTAGGACACACAAAGGGTAGATCGAATTACCTGGATATCGTCTGAGATAATCGAAGATGGTGATCAATAGACACCTGGATATCGTCTGTGGTATCTAGAGATCAAAGAATGAAAGACTACTTCGAATATTTGGATATCGTCTGAAATACTCGAAATGGACCTTTCGCTAAACGCCTGGATATTGTCTGAGGTGTCCAGTGATAATCTAGCGAAACGGAATTTATCTTACCTTTTATCGAAATACCTAGATATCGTCAGAGGTACTCGATAAAATTATCCATTAGGAACTTGGATATCGTCAAAGGTGCCTAATGTGGGGCTTTATCCAAATTGCTAGAAAGAGGGCTTAACAAGGTGCCTAGTTATCATCTAAGGTACCTGAAAAGTAATTCAACAAATTGGAATACATTTCTACTTTTAACGAAATACCTGGATATCGTCAGAGGTATTCGGAAAAGTCAATTGCTAAACACCTGGATATCGTTAGAGGTGTTCAAGAAGGAACTTTCCAAATTGTTTGAAAGGTGTACCTAACGAAATATATGGTTATCATCTGAGATATTTGAAAGGACTTGATCGATAAATACCTAGATGTCGTCAGAGGTATCTAACGATTTGGCGAACAGAGGGGCTAGCCCGAATGCTCGGAGATTCCTTGACAAAGTACTTGGATATCATTAGAGGTACGTGAAAAGGCTTGATCAATAGATGCCTGGATATCGTCAGAGGCATCTAGAGATCGCAACAAAATGATCGAATATGAGGCCTGACGATTGCTTGAACAGGTTAAGGATACCTGGATAATCACAGGCATCTAAGGGATACAGATATACTTACCTAGTGCTATCTCCGACTCTTGAGGGCGTGTCTCCTACTAGACACGGTTTTAGGCAACATGTAACATGCATTCATGGGCAATCAAGAACACATATAATTCAACTGGTTTTCATGCATGACGATTTTGTCAAATCAGCATTACTAAATTTCACTAGAGAGAATCCTGACAAGACAATCTGAACTCACAAGTGGGTGTCTCGAAAATGTCAAATGAGGGACTTCCGGTCTGAAAGGGCTTTCACTCACTCTCATCGAAAAGCGGCTATTTTATAAGAATCGTTCCATCTCATTATCATCATGTCGACAAGGGTCCAAGTATTCTCGCGAGCAATACGACCTTATCAGTCTGAGAGGTCTTTGTTAGGACCGTAACATGGGCTTAGTCAATGGCTTAACAAAAGGGGACTCTTCGAGTCGAGGCTATTGAAAGGAAATACTCCCCAATCATCTCCGGGTTTACAAGTCAAGAACCCTGTAAAATGAGATAGAAATGGACTTGCTCGCACTTCTTCGAGCTAAGCTTATAAGCATCTGAATTCCCATGCAAGTTCAAGTGCCCTAATCTGAAGAGACTTGTAAGGGATGTAACACAGGCTAGACTCATGGGTTGAGAAATGAATGGATGATTAGGCCCAAAATGTGTATAGTTCGGGTGAAAGAGTTGGTGATCATCTCGGCATTGTCATCAATTTTCTTCTTCTTCTTCGGGAATTATCTTCTCAGTAAATACTCAATTGGCCTTGAATTCATCACATAACTTCTCTAAACTTGTAGGACTACGACTACCCCACTACCCCACTGGGGATAATTTTGACACACCTATTTTTCTCTATTGGTGACGGCCTTGCTTTTACCAGGCACACTGCTTTTTCATGCCCACCCCTTTTTTTTTTCGACTCACTTCACTTGACATACGCTGTTTACAATGCGTACATTTGCCAACCACATTCTGACTAAATGACTCGCCATTTGGACTTTCAAGGATCTCTGTCTTCTATCAACACTCCGAATATGCTACTTAGACAATGATGGCTCTTACCTTGCCCCAGTATGGGGAATGATCACCAACCGGGTTTAAAGAAATGAATTTGCAGGCTCGATTGGGCTTAGCAAGGGATAAAGTGTGTATAGGGTAGAGAAAGAAATGCTCTTCGTCATCGTAAGCCTAAGGCACTTGAGCTTCATTGGTATTCATCTGAAAAAGCAACACTCGAAGATTGATGCAAGTGAGAGCAAGAAAATTTCTATCCATCTTTTTCACCTCATGATGCCAACTTACTTTCCCGTTTGCCCCAGTGTAGGGTGGTTCTTGACAGGGGTAATTTTGAAAGAATTTCTCTGAGTGTTTAGGCTCAAAGTGGCGGAACAACGGATAACTGGTAGTGTTTTAGATAGAGAATGAAATGCCTTTCGTCATTTTGGTTGTCGTACTTTTTGCGAGATAACTCTTTGCCTTGCGGACATGGAATTTTTTTTTTCACTCTACTCATTCGGGATTAGTGTATAGGACTGTGTATGGGGTATATTTTTCCTTTCATTATCCTGATGTACCTCTTCCAAAACATTTAATTCACTCCACATGAGTTATTAGATCGTTCAAGCAGATTCCCCCTTTTTCGAAATCGATGATACAGATTGACAAAATAATCACGCAGAATTTAAGAGCAATGCACACATCTCCACTTGAAATTAATTGAAACCATTTATTATCGGTAAAATGTTCGCAACTCAGAATATAAAACCAAACACTAGAAATTTTTTGCTGCAAAATGTTAGATTCTATTAGGGATAATACATTTTCACAGCATTAGAATTAAGAGGAGTGGAAAACTCACAACCGTCCATCTCTGTGAGAATCAGGGCACCTCCAGGAAGCACCTTTTTAACCACATATGGACCGATGTAGTTTGGGGCAAATTTACCCCCATGAACAGGAAAGACTGGCAGTACCTTTCTTAGGACTAGATCATTTACCTCGAAATGTCTTGGACACACCTTTGGTTGAAAGATCTAGCTATCCTTTCCTGATAGGTTTGATCATGGCAAATGACTTTCAAACACTTTTCATCAATTAGGTTCAACTGCTCATGCCTTTGTCGCATCCATTTCGCCTCAGACAACTCCACTTGGGACAAGACTCGCAGGGAAGGGATCTCTATTTCGACGGGCAGGAATACTTCCATACCATACACTAAGGAAAAAGGGGTTGCCCCGACAGTGGTTCGGATTGAAGTCCGATATGCTATTAGTGCAAATGGCAACCTTTCATGCCAGTCACGATAGTTTTCTGCCATTTTGGCCAAGTTCTTCTTGATGTTCTTGTTAGCGGCTTCAACTGCTTCATTCATTTGTGGACGATAGGGAGATGAATTTAGGTACCGGATCTTGAACTCGTTGAACAACTTATCTATGAATTTGTTGTTCAAATTTGTCCCATTGTCAGTGACTATAGCCTCGGGGACACCATAACGAGCGACTATATCTCGCCTGATGAATCTTACAACGTTCCTTGCAGTGACGTTTGCATAAGATGCCACCTCAATCCACTTGGAGAAATAATCAATCGCGACCAAGATAAATCGGTGTCCATTTGATGCTTTAGGATTAATTGGGCAATCACGTCGATGCCCCACATTGAAAAGGGCCATGACTCGGACAACTGATGTAATTCCGTCGGGGGAACATTTATTTTATCCCCGTGAACCTGACAGCGATGACATCTTCAGACATGTTGGATGCAGTCACTTTCAAGACTGAGCCAATAATAGCCCAACCTCATGAGCTTCTTGGCTAACATGTGGCCATTCATGTGTGGACCACATACCCCCTCGTGTACTTCTTACATGATTCTGGTAGCTTCAACTACGTCTACACACCTCAGCAGGATTGAATCGTAGGATCTTTTGTATAGCTTTTCACCACTGATAAAGAATTTTGAAGCCATTCTCATTATGTACTTCCTATTAGCCGAGCTGCTTCCTTCAGGAAATTCTTGTCTCTGGATATAATTCATGATATCATAATACCACAGCTTTCTGTCAGGTTCTTCAGTTACAACCATACAGTAGGCCGGTTTTATCAGGACTTCGATCTTTAAGGGTTCTACCTCTAATCCACTAGTCACTTGTAGCATGGATGATAACGTAGCTAGCGCATCAGCGAACTGATTACGGGACCTTGATAAGTACTCAAAGGAGATGTCCTCGAATTCCTTCATGATTTCTTCAAGGTATTCGTTATATGGCACAAGCTTAGTGTCTCTCGTTTTCCATTCTCCTACCGTTTGGAGGATGATTAAAGCAGAATCACCATATACCTTCAATTTAGTTATCCCTATTTCAACCGCCGTTTGGAGTCCGAGGATGCAAGTTTCGTACTTGGCTATATTGTTGGTACAGGGGAACACCAACTTTGCCGCTACTGGATAATATTGTCCATCCGGGGATATTAAAACTGCCCCAGTGCCGGAACTATCCAAGTTTATAGCTCCATCGAAAAACATGGTCCATGCATCTTCCTTTATCACTAAAATGCGATCTTCTAGAGAATATCTATCATCATCAGGGATTTCAGGATTTTCGGCTAACACATTAGCAATTACTTGGCCTTTAACTGACTTCTGTGGTATCATCTAAACATCAAACTCTGAAATTAAAATCTGCCACTTGGCTAACTTCCCTACCAAAGCTGGTTGATCAAGTAAATACTTGATGTGATCGTTCTCAGTCACAAGAAACGTCTGGTAATGCAATGTATACTGTCGCAACCTATGGAGCACCCACACCAATGCAGCGCAAGTTTTCTCGACTTCAGGATAGTTCAACTCCGAGATGGTGAACTTCTTACTTAGGTAATAATTGGCTCGCTCTTTCCATCTTCAGGCCTTTTTTGGGCTAGCATCGCACCCAAAGACTCCCTATGAATCGTGAGGTAAATGATCAAAGGCTGCCCCGGTATTGGTAGGACTAGCATTGGTGGTTTTATCAGCTATCGCTTTGGTTCGTTAAATGCTTTCCGACAATCATCGTCCCATTTCACTTGAGTATTCTTCTTTAGAAGTTTGAAGAATGGCTTAGCAGTTTCGGAGAGTTGAGAAATAAAGCAGGCTATGTAGTTCAATCTACCCAAGAGGCTTCGCACTTCTTTCACAGTCGATGGGGGTTATAACTCACATATAGCCTTCACTTCGGAGGGGTCAACTTCAATGCCCTTACTGCTTACTATGAACCCAAGTAATTTACCCGAGGTTGCTCCGAATATGCACTTTGCTGGGTTGAGACAGAGCTTAAACTCACGGAGTCTCTCGAACAGTTTTTTTAGGGTATCGACGTGACTCTTCCCGGGTCGAGACTTGGCGATCATGTCATCGACATAGACCTCGATCTCGTTATGCATCATGTCATGAAAAAGCATCACCATTGCCCGTTGATATGTTGCCCCAGCATTTTTAAGGCCGAAAGGCATGACCTTGTAGTGGAATGTCCCCCAAGGGGTAATGAATGCGGTTTTCTCCTTATCACTGTCTTTCATTTTTATCTGATTATAACCCGAGAAACCATCCATAAAGGAAAATAGTTCGAACCCAGCAGTACTATCCACCAAAACGTCTATGTGTGGCAATGGAAAATCATCTTTAGGGCTGGCCTTGTTTAGGTCGCGGTAGACAATGCAAACCCGAACTCGGCCATCCTTCATCATGACTAGTACGATGTTGGCCATCCAACTAGGGTATCGGGTGACTTCAATAAACCCTACTTTCAAGAGCTTCATAAGCTCCTCATCTATCTTCTTCGAAAGTTCAGGCTTGGTTCTCCACAACCTTTTGTTTCTTGGGCAGCACATCTGGATTAGTATGTAGATTGTGTTCCATAATAGAAGGGTCTAAACCTGGCATATCAACGTACGACCAAGCAAAGACATCATGGTAATCCTTTAGCAGTTAGACTAGACGCTTCGCTTCACTTTCGGGAAGGGTTGCCCCTATCTTCATCTCTTTAGGCTCTCCGGAATCACTCAAGTTAATGGTGACAGTTTGATCTGCCGTTAGGACTTTGGGTCTTTCATGATGCTGTAGATTGCGCTGAAGGTCCAAGGAGTCGTCGAGTTCTTCAGTGTCATTGGGATCAGGCTCGGCGGCGCATAATTCATCAGATTGGACCGTTCCCATACCCTCGCATGTCACACAATCGCCCTTGAAACATAAAGTAGGGGATTCAGAAGGACAAACGGGGCTAAACATTGCATGTTTTTCTAAATTTTTCTTCTTTTTCTTTTTGAAAATTTTTTTGAAGTTTTTTTTTGTGTGATTTTTTCTGAAAAAGGTTTTAACATGAGGGAGCATGAAGAAGCCTAGGCCTCAAAATTCTCCTTAGGTTATTTTTTATTTTATCAGTTGGATATCATCACCAGGCTAGTTTGATGTACCTCAACATGCCCTCAAAAATGAAAATAACTTGTAATTTCATTGATTATCACCAAATGAATTATATTTATTGGAATGAAAATTACGACAATCAAGTTCTAGAAACGAAAAGTCCTAAAAAGTAGCTCCCGATACGAGGCAAGTCCTAAAAAGCAGTAAAAATTCCCACACAAGGGAGTATACGAAAAAAGTAAAGGTGTTACTCTTGCGGGCCAATGCCCATTCCCTTTAACGGTCCTTCCTTGATAGCTCCAATAAGTATGTCATCGAACAGGGCAGTGATTCCCTCCATCGCATCATCAGGATTTTCTGACACTGGAGGTGTTAGATCATCCATACCTCCCCATCCATCGAGGACAATATCACACGGATGAATGTAGAAGTTCGAGGGTGCCGAGTATTTCACATAGTAGTCGAACTTACCTCTCGATTGCCCCAATGTATCGATCACCTCCTTCTCTTCATGCATCATTCTTGTAGGGCCTGGGAATGTGGTACGGATGTGTGGAGGCAACCTACCACGCCCAAGCTCTCCGTTGTTTTATGTACTTTCATGCCTATGTTCTTCACTATTCGGCTATTCCTCTAATCCTTGTCTATTTTGCCCGTCTCCTCAACCACGTCCATGTCCTCTGTCACGCTGTCCACTTCCACGCTCACGTCCTCGTCCCCCATTATTTAGCTCGCTCGGACCCTGATACCCCAATCCAGTAGTGTGGGGCCTTCGAGAGACCTCCACCGGTCGGCAGATACCTTGACCATTCCTTCCAAGTCCTTCACTCGGATTAAAATCATGGGACACCATCACTCTTCCAACCATGACTGCAGCATTTGACATCTCAGGAACAGGCGAGACTGAACCCCGAGACGCATGTATGGTCGATACGAGCTCGAGCGACTAATAGCTCGATTCTATTTTGCAATCCGGCTCAACAGAAGGGATAGCCATTGCGTGGTAAATTGGGTGCTCTTCTTCACCGTAGACCGTGACTAACTTTCTCTCCACAACGAACTTCACTTTCTAATGTAGACTGGTTGGCACAGCTCCGGCAATGTGAATCCATGGACAACCCAACAGAAAATTGAATGCAGTGGGAATGTCCATAACTTGAAATAGAATGTTGAACATTGTTAGTCCTATCTATATGTCAAAGTGGATTTCTCCCATCACTTCTTTCTTCGTTCCGTCAAAGGCTCGCACGGAGGTCTTGGCAGAATTTATCCTAGAAGAATCTATCTTGAGGCGATGTAAAGTCGCCAGAGGACATATGTTCAAGGCTGATCCGTTGTCAATGAGTACCCGGGCTACATGCGAGGCCTTGTATTTGACAGAAACGTAAAGTGCCTTGGTATGCCCCCTCCCTTCCAAAGGGAACTCTTCATCCGAAAAGGGTATGAGGTCCTTGAGAAGTATAGAACCCACAAATTCCTCTAATTTGTCATGATCGATCGTCTCAGGCACGTGGACTTCACTTAACACCTTCATTAGGGCTTTTGATGCTTGATAGATGTCTGGAGTAGTTCAAGCAGAGAGATTTACGCAGGCATCTTGCGCAATTGTTCAACTACGTTGTATTCGCTAGCCTTGATCACGGCCAAAAACTCCTTAGCTTCTTCATTGGTGATAGGTTTTGTAGGATGAACATTAGCTTGGGCATAGGTACGCCGAGACCTCGTAACCAAATCGACATCGAGAATGTAAGACCAAGGGACCGCCTTATTATCACTATACTAAAATGGTTGAGGTATCTCACCAAAGAACTCGACCTTGGTTGGACCTTCGACCATAAGGATTGACGAGGAAATGTTTTGGGCCAACAGAGACTGATCCAGTCGACCGATCGTGTCCAATTGGAACTAGCGACAGACCCTCGCAATTACATGATAATCGAGGTCGCCTTGGTTCGAGCAAACTTAAACGTGACTTGACTTAGTGTCGGTCACGGGTCGAGAGCGCGTAATCCCAATGAGCCACCCGTTAGTAAGAGATAAGCTAAAGTTGTGATTGTTTGATTTTAATCATTTCGTGGAATTCGGGCCTGGGAATCGAGAATTTCGAAAGTGACAATTTTTAGCGGCCGATGACATTTTTGGCGTGGTCAACCTTGGGGCCACCCGTTTTTGTAAAAAAATGGATTTTGGTTCGGGACCGGAAAAATGACCGTTTTGCCCTTTTGCACCGCGAACGAATTTTGAGGACTGGATTGAATCGGGGGACTGAAATTTATCCTGTATGGCTGAAAATAGAAGGACAAGAATGCCCCTCCCCTCCCATGAGCAATTACGCTTTTGCCCTTGAATGATTGGATAAGATTGAATGTGGACCGTTGGATTTGGATAAGATCGAACCGTGGCCCTTGGATTGGTGGGGTGGTTAGAGGGGTAAAATGGTAATTTCTGATGGGGTTTTTGAGACCAATTATTGGGGGCACTATATATATTTATTTCTCTCTCTTTCTCTCTCCCATAATTCACTCTCTCTTTCTCCTCACCCCCACCGACCGGAAGCTCTCTCTCTCCCTCCTTTCCCGTGCGTGAGCCAAGCTTGGCCGGCCACCAGCTGCCCAGCCACCTGGTCGCCGCCGGCCCAGCCCGTCCGCCGCCCAGCCTGCCCGCCGCGCCGGCCCGGCCTGGCCCGCCGCCACCGTTTCTTCTTCCTTGGCCGCGCCCCACCGTCCGCCCTGTCTCTCTCTCTGTCTCGCCCTCTCCTGTTCAACCCAGCCACTACTGAGCCATCCCCGACTGTCCTCCCCTGACCCGTACGTCCCCATCGCTGCCCCCAGCCGCCCGATCGCCGCCTGCCAGCCGCCCGTCCACGGCGTCTCAGCCTTTCGCCCGCCTGGCCGCCGGCGCTGCTGCTTGGCTGCTGGTGGTGGTCCGACTGATCCGGCCATCTGCCTAGCTTATTGTCACCCCTTTTTAAGGTAAGTGACTCCCCCAAACCTTCCCTAGGACCTCGAGTATTGTAGGACATGTTTAGGACTCGGTTTAGGGTAATTTAGGGGCTGTTTGAGGCATGTGAAGGGGACTGGATAATATGGCTGTTGTGGACTGATTTGTGTAATGGAAATGCGAGATTAGGAGGCTCGGATAGGGCTGTAGTGAGGCGGAACGACATTGGCTGAATTGTATGTTTGATTGGCAGTTTTATGCCTTGAATGGGCTTGTATGTGTGATTGTGATTTGTGGTTGTTGGCTGATCTTAGAAT